TGGGGGGGGGGGGGGGCGAAGGAAAATATATTTTTACTTTGGAAAATAAATGCAAAGTCAATGCTCTTTTGATTACTGGCATGCCTTGTGCTTTGGGGATACAAGTTTTATTTTAACATTCCAATGCCATCTGTTTCAGTTCCCCTCCTCCCCCCAAAAGCAATATTATTTCTGTTGCGTGTTGATGCAGTTTTAATACTATTTCAACTTTCTTTAGTTGTAATACATGATTATTAAGTAATTTGAATATAACAAGCAGACTGGGTATCTGTAAAGCTTGGCTGTTTCTCCTAACTAACCAGACCCAAAGTTAAGATATAGATATTCTATGTGTAAAGTGTTCTCATAAACACAATATAGGAGAATACAAAGCCAAGGAGGACTGAAACAATAAAAGTGCTTACCTTGACTCTCCACTACTGTTTCTTACGCTTTCTTCATCACTGTGCCCGTTCATTGTAAATATTTATAAGTTTAAAAGGTAAATAAAAGTCCACTCAGGTTAACACGTGGATGTCAACAATTCACTTCCTGGTACTCTGTGCGTTTTCTAGGTGATGTGTTTGCTCAACTGGTCTCTGGAGGTATTCAAGATTTCTCCCAAAATACCTAGAGTAGTAAAGGAAAATATTGACACAGTTTGAAATATTTGGTTGCAGCCAAGAGACACTGAAAACCACCTGGCTTGTCACACTAACAGAACAGGGTACCTATCCCATTTGGCTTTTTAAAAATGAAGAATTGCTTATCACCCAAGAAAACCTTTTTCCTGTTATCTATGAATAAAAAACAAACAAACAACAAAAAAAACCCAAAAAACACACACACCACACACACCAAAAAACAAACAAACAAACAAAACACAAAATGCACCAAACACAAACAAAAAAAAAAAAGCAAAAAAAAACCACAACACTTAGAAGAGATATTTTTATTAGTTACACTGAAAGATTAGAGAACTAAATGAAATAAAATGCAGAAGAAGAAAGACCTGTCTAGCTTTTTGCCTGGCTGCTGTCAAGTCCCAAGACAGCCCATTTATGTTCCTCTCTTCACCTCCCTATCAAAGGGGCCACACAGGTAGGCCTTTCTGCAGGGCCACTAGCCACAGAGGGCTGGGTAACCCACAGCCCAGCCCCAGAAACACTGCTGCCCTTAGCACTC